AAACATTTTACAGTGGGGCCAGGTAATCCCGTATGGAGGTGGTTCGACTACGCTTTGGGACTGAATGGAGAAAAGGAAGTATTACTGTTATCAGAGAACTCAAATCTGGGCTTTCCAGGTGCTGCTAATGCCGGAGACACCCTCTCCAGCATTTTCAATAGATTGCGGCGGATTTGCCTAGTTGACTCTCTAATGAGTCAATTGTTCTCTCTGTTTACGCTATTAAAAGAGTATTAGCTCCGTTAAGGTGTGGGTGCCAAAGGGAGACACTGCCATAAGGTCTAAATGGGGACCCCTGTGAAGAGCTCATCAAACAGAACTGCATTGTTGATGCATCAAACAGGTCCAGCAGTTAGCTAGCTATTTTACAGACGGTGACATTTCTGCTCTATGTAATGTAACGCATTGATGACGCAAACACCTCATAGTCACTGTCTACTCTCTCGGCCAGAGGCGCGTTAAAGCCGATCGTGTGGACGGAAGTCATCAGCCCCCCTGCCGGCTCAATCGCTTCTCATCATCTACAACGCCAAAAATGCGCTCATGAAACAGGTTATGAGACTATTTCGTTTCTTAAAGGATAAGACCGCCAAGCACGGATCCAATGTGGGCGCTTATGACTAAAGTGCTGTGGGTTCTTCTCAGGTATCCTCTTAAAGCTACTCATTGAGAGGATGATGAAAACTTCAGTCAGAAGCAGGGAGTCCGCTTATTTCGAATCCTGGGTCATGTTTTAAACCTCTTCGCCAAAGTGCCTCAATACGCATAGAGTGCTGAGAGCCAGATTACTGACTGATAGGACAAAGCCCAGAGCTGATACAGAGGGATTTGCCAAAGTAAAGACAGATGTTGTAGTCGTGCAACGGAGAGCAATCCATACTCAGGGGCAAGGAGTTAATGGGGAAGCGTATTGTTATCAACTTCTGAACCCATCTTTTTTATCTGAAAGAGGACTTTGCGTGCATTAAGAGTGTGCGCCAATCCCTTTTAGCAGCGGGGACCCGAGCAACTAATCGTACATATATCTGAGGTGATCTGTGAATGCCATCAAACCCACGCCACAGCTGTCTGCTGCTGAAATATCAGGATGTCAGGTCATCAATATAATCAAACTGACCGGGTGCCTTAAAATGCTCATGCCTCTGCCAATTAGCTTTGACTATTATAGGATAGTGCTTTCAGGCTAAAACCTGCTTTCAAAAGCCACTACGAAACAGAAAAATGTGTCTCCCAGCTCTACAGGTCCACTGAAGGTGGTGAGTTGCCAATAATTCATGCAGGTTGCTGTTCATTGTGTTTTATTAGAAGCTGCTTCTTTCACTCAATAGTCATCAAAGCACTAAAGAGGAAGAGCAGCCACTTTATTCCCTTAATTACCCAATTATAGCCAACAGCACCCATACTGAGGATAATGACCTCATCTGAGTCCAGTCTATTGAAATAAAGAAAGCGGCTTATTAATTATGAAAGGCATTAGCAACACTGCGATTACAACTGCATGGGAAAATAATCGAATAAAAATTTGATAAGAAGAAATTATAAATGGACTTGAGACATCTGAACTCGTTCTGAGTGTGCAGAAGTTTGGAATACAGACTTTTATTGATTGACTGACTTGGAGCAATACGATAGAAAAGAAAAATATTTGTAATCTGCGATCTCTTTAGATTAAGCCAACACTGACTGTGTGTCAGAACTTCCCTTTACCTCTTCCGTCTATCTGTACTGTGTCCACGGGCTTCAGTTTTACTCATGTCAGTAGCAGAAGCTTGTCAGAAGCGGTTAGTTTCTTTAGGAAAATGACTCCTGGTTCTTAACTCACAGTTCAACTCAAGCCTGAGATTTTTTTAGCGCCTCTTGTTTTTTCCTTTTCTTTTTCTTTTTGCAGTGAAGGTGGATTAGGAGAGAAGGGCTTTTGTTTAGATAAAGCGAGGGATTAGGTAGAGATTTGCCCCCATAAAGTTGTGGGCTTGATGGGCCTTTTATCCCTCCATGTCGCTAAAGCTGTGTTGCTTCTGGATTAGGACTATACAATGGGGCCCCTTGTGCTGGGGATCCGGGCCAAAGTGAGCAAGACGGAGAGGGAGAGAGATTGAAGAAATACAAGGGGGAAGAGAGACTGAAGACAGTAAAGAGATGGAGAACGAGAGAGAATAAGAGGGGCACAGCTTCTGACAGAACTGACAGGTCAAAAACTTTTAGCATGGGGATTTGTTAAGAAGATCCTGGGATCTTGTCACGAATGATGCGATTTCCAGAGGCATCAGTGGAGCAAATCAAAATAAATTAAAAAGTAGCACTGCCCCTTTAATACAGGTATCTAATTTAGCAAAAGAAAAAAAACGGGTTTGAGACGAAGGTGCTGCTAATAACGTGTCTAAGAGATGGCTCCTGGCAAATTGCTTTGTTATTCTTGTCAAAAAGGTCTCCTGGAAGCAGTCGATTTTAAACCATACATCAAAATGATTAATTGCTCTGGGAAGAACAGATGCTGAAATACCCTTGGATTGAGCCTGAGAGGCTACAGCTTTGTGGATTGCAAACGTAATGTATTCATGAAGTTGCAGAAACATCATTAGGTCTATTAATTAGCTAATAACAACCATCTCGCGTTTTGACACCAAATGCCTTTATTTCATTCTTTCCTGCAAAGCTACGGGACAATGTTAAATTCAGAAGTTTAAATAAAAGCCAGCGATATGATTGACTCGTTTCTACGATATCATCCATCGTTTTGTAAAGCAGCCGGATTCGCCCTAAATAAAATTATTTTGAGAGATTCCAAGTATAATCGCGGGGACTTTACATTGCAAATTCTGTTGTTATAAATCGCTATCCAACACTGAAATAGAAACGTGTTAGCCTAACATACACGCGGGAGGGCAGCTATATGAAAATGGAGAGCAAAAAAAGAAAAACACAATTACTTGGAGTAAAACTGGACCGGGGGCTTTTGCAGCTCTAAAGGTGGGTTTCTCTCTGTGGCACTTTAAATGGAAGGCATTTAAAGCCCTCAGATGTGCTGGACAGTAGTCCTCGTTTAAGCAGATTTAAGGAAGAGGCGCTGAGAGGAATTCTTTCTCACTTTAATTGCTTTAGAAACGCTTCTCACAAAGAGACATTGCCCAGATTTACCTCCCGTTAAAGTTCTTATTTCCATCAGTTCACAAGTTAATCCTCTTTCTTTCTCAGACCATAAAAACCAAGTGGGGAGAAATGATGGGAAACGACACAGGTTTGATTTCAAAAAGGTAAAATGTATAGCCTATATAATATTTAGGCAAACTACTGCATGAAGCGTCTTTGATAATGGCAACAAAATCCTTGATTTTTTTATTATAGGCAAACCTACTATCAATGAGCAAATCTCTAAATAAATGTAAAAGTGCGATATTCGCTTAGCGTAAACTTCTTAAAATCGTATCCATTTGGATTTTTACATTTTGTTAATGCGTCAAATGGGCTAATTATTTCCGTTGATTATTTTTAGTTATTTTCATAGGCTATATGGTCTTTGCTTGCTTGCATAACATTTATAAAAGCAGAACGGGAATATTTTTTTTTAAATATATTTTAATAGCTTTGAAACACTTTTGAAATTCAACATTATTCTACACTAACTGATCAATTAGATACGAGCAACACGTAAATGTTATGATTGATTTTAGCATCGCTTGAATTCTTGCTGCCTGTAATAAATATTAAATTAATCAGAAACATAATTTAGACTGCAAGCCATGCGTTTAGTTCATTTTTGATACACATCTTGCATTCGACAACACCCAAATAATTTTAAACAACAGTAAATGTGTGTAAAAGAGGCAAACTAGCTACTCGGTTTCATTCAATTTCCACTCGTTTCAAATTCCTCTAGATGAACTATGGTCAGAGATAAAATTCAGTTAGGGATTTTCACCCTGGCCCGCTTTTCTGTGAGCATCTTTAACAAATTATGCAAGCTTTACATTAAAAGGCTACTTTGCGCTGCCCTTAATTCCAACCTAAACGGTTTTGCACCGAGAGAAGAAATCTTTTCTAAAAACCCTTCAAGAAGAGAAGGGCATTATTGTTTTAATCCTCTTACCGGCAGTCATTTCAAGACAGAGGTTTTTTTGGAGGCTGAAATAGCGTCTTGTCTCCCCTTATCCTCACCCAAATCCTTCAAGGCCGGGAGAGATTGTGAAGGCAGTAGCCTGGCATCTATTAGAGATCTCTAAAGTCCCTTCAGTCTCTCCTGCAGTGGCATGACAAAGCCGAAAAGCAAACAAAACCAATGCATGAGATATTCGTTTGTCAAATAAAAAAAATAAAATAAAATAAAAAAAGGTCTTGGGGCTGGCTGTGACCTTTATAGAAATATGTTCAAGACTAAAAGTAGTCAATGCGTGAGAATAATATGATAAATCATATAGGCATTAACTCTAAGTTTGGCAAAACAAAGTTCAGTATAGTCAATTTCTAGCAATATGCTGTTATTTCGAGAAAATTGTTTGTGGTTCTCGCAAGACTTCAACAAATGATAAATCCTGAAATCAAGAAAACAATGAGTCCATGTAAAAATGATCAAGTGGAAATGCAATGTTTGTATGCTCATTTAAAGATCTTCCTAACCTAAAACCCATTAAAATTACTAAACAAAATTACGTATATGTAACATTTGGCCATAACCAAACTCTTTGCCATCACCGTCTATCTAACTATACGCGTTTCTCTTTTGTTCCTACTTTAAACTCTTAAACCCACCGATGTCAGTATTTTCTGTTTATTCTCACATTAGGATAATATTGTTTAGAAGCAAAAGTGCTTGTGTGTGGACATTAGTGCTGTGATTTAAGACTTCTAAGTAAAGGGTCAATTGGCTCGGAGTCCACACACACGCAGCCAGAAAAATACCGTCGAGCTTTGATTGACAGCTTCAAGGACCAGTAGCAAGCCTACTTGCGGTTACGCGGAGCTCTTTAAAATCCCTCCTCAAAGCTCGTGTCAATAGATGGACGCAATGTGCTGAGAAGAGCGCGCAGGGAACGATTTGGAGGCGCTTGATACTTAGCGGATACATTTGAATGGGCTCTTAGACTTTGAGAAACGCGATAAGGACATCTGGGAAATACTCCGAGCTACAAGCAACACAATATCAAGTGACAGTGTGAGATACTGGATAAAGGACAATACTGAGGTAAGAGAGGAATTGTTTATGCAATTATTTACATTCTTAAAAATTAAGGTTCTTTATTGACATTGGTGACTCCATAAAGATCATTTAACATCAATGAAACTTTTCCATTCCAGAAAAGGATCTTTATGTGCAAACAGTTTCTTTTAGATTACTAAACTGTTATTTACACTAAGATTTTTTTTTTTAAAGAAACGTTCACTGAAATGTTCTTTGGGAAACCAAAAATGGTTCTTCTGTCATAGCTAAATAATTACGCCATGAACTAATAAAACAACAGAAATATTTTAATGTGTCAGTTCAGTAATAGGATGTCTGAAATATAGCTTAAATAAATGCTGGCAGTTCCTCAACTTTTCTTTAGTCTTCAAATGGGCTTATTTCAATTTTAAATATATGCCATTACCAATATCCTTATTTTGTATTTTTCTGAAATGGATAGTTGCAATCCAGAGCAAAATAATAATAATAATAGAAAAAAAATCTTAAACATAAGCTGTGAAAGAGACAAAACATAAAAATGCAATTTTTAAACATGAGCTAACAGCGGTCTAACTTTTTTTTAGCTTACTTGATTTCACATTACTTGGATAAAACGATTATTTTTCTTAATTCATAATTATTCAATTGAAATTCTGTTAAAATACATTTCAAGTGGACATAGTTCAACTTTGAAATGGAATATTGGAAAAACCTGGAGGCCTTTGACAGTGAGGGATACAAATATATGAGTGACAATATAAAACATATGTCATGCATGCGAGACACGATAAATAGTGCCCCCGGGTCAAATGGGGTTTTAACGTTAACATTTTTCCTAATTTAGTCGGATCAAAAAGTTGCACTGTACATGCCAATTTGCATAATGAGGTTTTAATAATCGAAGCATGGAGTGTCACACTGCCCGCAGCAGTAACAGGCGGATGAACAGAGTACAATAGCAGCGAGACACAGTATTAAAATAAGCTGCCCTTTGTGCTAAATATCAGCTGGCCTGTGATGGCGAAATTTTGACGTTTAGCAAGTGCCTAATCACACACTTGAACGAAAAATTCGCATACGTTAAATGATACATTATCAAGTCTATTGTTAATTGGTCACACTAAATCACTTTTGCATTGGTCGTTTTTATTAGCTTACAATTTCGAGTGTATTTATTGATCGCTTACAGTGTTTTTGGTCAAATGTAAGCTATAACATCAATGCAATGACAATGAACGAACTAAACGAAAAGTAAAATGTATAGGCCTAACACATCTCTTTAGACACATATTGGTTGGTAAGCACGCGCGCGAGCATTTCTTGAAACCACGCACGCACGCACACACACGTAAGCTCACTGTACGTCCGTCCGTGTCAGCGGTGATGATAAATGGAGGTCTCCACAGTCGAAACCTATTTGCACTTCCATTAGACGGGGACCCAAATGGGGATCAACATGCATATTTTACCCGCAGAGAAGCCATACATCTCAGCCAAAACGTGCCCCGGGGCGATGGGATAAGGGGCTGAGAGAGAAGGGAGGGTGAGAAACGGACCCCATTCAATTCAAATACTTGGGGGAGAAAAGTAAATGTTTAGCAAAGCACCTTCTGTGCAAGCGAATTAAACTATTCCCTCTTGCCCTCTGATCACATTCATCAGACGTTGCACTGACTTAATAGTCTGGGAATGGGCAGTCCGGGTGTCACAAGCTTCCACGCTGAGGAGGGTATACAGGCCTTTTGGTGGCCTAAAATGGGTAAAGACAGCTAAAGTGCAAATACAAACCTTTTAACAAATCTTGCAGACAAACTTGCTTCCGTAAGTTCTACTTAAACGCACATAAGGACGATGGCCTGTTACAGAACATAAGACGCATGCAATTTTTTTCCAAAGAATAAAAGGCACTTAGAAAATCTGAATGTAGCCTATAATTTATAGCCTACTTGAACAAAAAAATATGATATAAATGCAGAAATAATAGCCTAATAATAATAATAATAATAATAATAAAATAAATAGGAATTTGATTATTGCTAAAATCTTAATAACGAGGAACGAATTGGTTGATAAATCATGTTGGCCCCACTAATAAAATATAGAAATAAATTATATTTGTATTATTATTATTAGATACTAAAAGTATAGTATCACAAACACGTGCAATTCGTTTTCTACTTCCTTTTTCACTTTTTGCTAGCTATACATAATCATTTTGTCAGAGATTTTAATCTATTATGATTTTAACAAATTACTGGTTTTAAACATTTAGTCCCATGAACCTAATGTTTGCTACAATCGAAGTAAAGATAAGCAATTTCAGTGCTGGTTGGAAATACAATTTCGTTTAAAACTCGAGGCTGTTAGAAGTCCCAGGACACCCGGCATGTGCGGAAGTAGGCCTATACTTTCTCTCTTAATAATTCGCACTGCATTGACCTCGGAGATATTCGTGCCTGTCAAACACCTCTATATACTAATACACATCTAATCGTGTCCTGGAGCCTTTCATTTTATTTATGAAAAGTTTAAACTGGCTGTGAAAAATGACTGAAAAAATAGGCTACATTTGGAAATGCAGATCAGTAAATTTTAAATATTGAGATTAAATATCCCTACACATTTAGGCTTTACATTTATTATAAGTTGCACCGTTTAAATTAATTTTCGATTACAAAACTGGTAGAATAACATCTTTATCGAAACATTCGTTCACTGCTTATCTCACTAAAATCAATCAATGATTCATTGACAACTGTTTTTGAAGGATTTGCTACGGTAATTTGCCTCTGAAATTATATATCTAATGTAGTAAGCATAAATCGGAGCTCATTAGGTAAACAAGTGATAATTGCACCAATTAATTCCTTGTGTGTGACTAATGGATTGAACAAAACAATAATTGGATATTAATGAACACAGTTCCGCTCATAAGCGGATTTCCAAAAGCGCTACTCTCACTATAAGACTGACAACTATATTGACTGATATATATATATATATATATATATATATATATATATATATATATATATATATATATATATATATATATATATATATATATATATATATATATATATATATATCACTATAGCCTACATAAAAATATAACAAAAGTCAAGATGCTAATTAAAATATTCGTTTTAATAATTGTAATAGGCATACATGAATGCAGGGTAATTTAAGGAAATGTAGATGATCATCTCAGTATGCGAATTAATCTTTAAATTATATTATTCATTTTATAGCCAATCATAACCAACTGTGACGCAAATCTTGACAAGTATATTAATTGACATAGTTATTAGTCAATAGTTTATTAAATGTAAAAAAAACAACAACAAAAAACGTAGGCTATTACACGCTAAGGAATTATATCATAATGAAATATTTCTTTATTTAGTTGGTCCGTGAATGGTACACTAAAAGGCGCTCATATAATGTTGCTATGGTGACCACCTCGCGCGAAACGTGACTTCAGTTCAAAAGCATTTATTCTGACTTCTATTCGAACTCTGATTCTAACTTTTGTGATTCCTAAACCGTTCGAAAACCCCGTTCAAATGTATAGTCTAGGCTTGCATGAAAAAAGAAAACTTGCTTTTGAGATCCCACCTTTTATTCTGACTTCCTTTATGTCAGGCCTCAATATGGGAGATTAGACCACCATAGAATGTTAAAAAAGTGTGTTAACAAACGGGAAAAGCGCTCATTGTTATTATAAAATCCTCACAATCCTGCTCTTTTACAGATATTTTGGAATCATGCAACACTACGGAGTGAACGGATACTCTCTCCACGCCATGAACTCATTGAGCGCCATGTACAACCTGCATCAACAGGCGGCGCAACAAGCGCAGCACGCGCCTGATTACCGGCCGTCCGTTCACGCGCTCACCCTCGCGGAGAGACTGGCTGGTAAGTGCGTTCCCTCTCTGCCCCTCCCATAAAACACGCACATTTATTTTGATTGTACAATGAATTAAATATGCCGTGTCTTTTCTCTTCCAACGGCTGTACATTTCAAGATATCATACTCGAGGCTCGCTATGGCTCTCAACATCGCAAACAACGCCGCAGTCGCACCGCTTTCACGGCCCAGCAGCTGGAGGCTTTGGAGAAGACGTTTCAGAAAACGCACTATCCAGATGTTGTGATGCGGGAGCGCCTGGCCATGTGCACCAACCTACCCGAGGCACGTGTGCAGGTAAGAAATTCATTTCACCTTTAAACTGGTCTTTAAAATTTAAGATTGTCCACAGATATGCATTCATGAGTCAGGAGTCAAATCTATAAATTGTCTTTTGAACATCAGGTATGGTTCAAGAACCGCCGTGCAAAGTTTCGCAAGAAGCAGCGAAGCCTCCAAAAAGAGCAACTGCAGAAGCAGAAAGACGTCTCGACAGACGGAGCCCTAGGAACAAGCGATAAGGATGATGCCCCCTCCAACCTAGCTCTTGAGAACCAGCCACCTTCGTCATCCTCTTCTTCCTCCTCTATGGAAGCAGAGGCAGCTCCCCATGCACTGGCATCAGAACTTAGCGTTGAGCTTAACGTGACATCGGCAGAGCAGTCAGGCAGCGAGTCGGCCACAGAGGACAACGCAACCGACAAGGAGGAGGAGATAAAGCAGCACAGAGAAGTTTTGAAGGTTGAGAAAGAACCAACACCTGGAAACCTTTCACCTCTTTGCAAACGTCTCACCCCCAAACCAGGTATGTTTTGGCATTTATAGCACTCTTTACCCTATTAATAAAGGTTCTTGTTGGAGCCACAGGTGTGTAGGCAAGTGCTCCAACATACAGTGCGGATGCAATTCGGAGCGACCCGAGTTCGAGTCCTGGCTCAAAGTCCTTTCTTGGTCCAATTCCCCTCTCTCCTCTCCTAAGATTTCCTGTTTGTCCTCTGTCTTATGTACAGTAAATAAAAGCCTTAAAATTAAACAAAAAGGTTGTTTATTAGCATTGAGGGTCCCATGAAGAACCTTTCCATTGCAAAAAAAAATTATCTTTTATAGTGGAAAAAAGGTTCAGATTATTAAAATGTTCCTTTAGGTCTTTTTCTGTTCTCTGAGAGGTTTTTTTGGGGATCCCAAAATGGTTCTTCTACGGCATCACTGCGAAAACTATTTTGAACGTTTATTTTTAAGAGTGTGAATTGACACTATGGTTCCAATCTAACTCTCGACAATCCACCTTTGTCTCCTTAGACTCTCCTCTTGGTTCCCCGGCCATCTCATCTTCCTCTAGCGGGGTGACCGGCGGGATCTCTCAGAGTCACTCGTACTCCTCGTCTCCGCTCAGCCTCTTCCGTCTGCAGGAGCAGTTTCGCCAGCACATGGCCGCCACCAACAACCTGGTTCACTATCCGTCTTTCGACATGGCGACCCCGTCGTCTATACCATACCTGGGCATGAACGTCAACATGCCAGCGCCCCTGGGTTCCCTCCCCTGCCAGTCCTACTATCAGTCCCTATCTCACCACGCGCAACAAGTTTGGAACAGCCCCCTGATGCAGACCTCTGGAGGCCTTCCTAACCACAACAGCAAGACCACCAGCATTGAGAACCTACGCTTGCGGGCCAAGCAGCACGCGGCATCACTGGGCCTGGACACGCTGCCCAACTAAACAGGAATCTGAAAACTAGCTGAGCAAGGAAACATCTCTCTACCACTACCAACATGCCACCTGGACTTCTCAAATTAGAGTCAATCTTTGGAAACTAAAAAAAAAAATAAAAAAAAAAAAGGGTGTCTTGAGGTTCTCCTGAATACTAAAGTTGCTTTCAGGAGAGGCAAATCAAATCTCTGACTCATTTGCATATATTAGAGGGCTTGTTATTTTTAAGCAGGCAGTGAAATGATGAAGGATATTACATTTGTTTTGCTTAAAAGGACAGACAGGCCCTGGATTAGATTTAGTGTTATTTATACGTTTTGGAAGGGCGTAGATGTTTGATATAAGCACTTTTTGGAGCCGGCTGCATGCACTATATACCAGAATCTGAAAATAACTTTTAATTTAATTATCGCGGTTCTCAAATTACTCAAATTACACCTCACACAAATTACCTTGTAAATGTAAATCTTGCAAACTTAACTACATAGACTAATTAAATCTAACCTGTTTAATGGTCAGGATTTAACCACGGTAAATTGAGGATGGTTGGGTAATGAGGAAATGATTTCATTGACTACATATGCAAAGCTTTTAATTACATGTAGCCTCGGGCAGAGGAAGAAATACAATTATAGACCATGCATATCATTGGAGATCGCCACGTTAACACTCAGAGGGAAAGTACTCTCAAGAAAACTTGTCGCAACAGGAAACAATGCTGAATAGTCCAGAACAGGAAAAGTTCTCCAGTGGAAAGCAAAGCACTTCCATGTATGCCAGCCTTCCCACTGCTCATTCTTTCCATCTCAGTGCTGAGCTCTCATTGTGTTTGTAAAGTATTTTAATATGTAAAATACAAAGTCTTTATCTATAAATGTTTACTGGTAAGGCAAATGTAAAAGTTCTATGTTTTAGACTGAGAAGAGTTTTAACCCTGTGATGATTCTGGTAGCTGTCCTTTTGTAAGATTGTACCGGGTGGGCCGCACTACCCGTCTGCGTCTCCCCCAGATTATTTAACCTATACAGTCTGGTCGTCTTTGTAACTCTTTCATTGTCACTGTGAACATCAATATACAGTCACTCACAACATCACATGAAAGTGGTGAATTTGTAGCCTATATCGGTGGAGAGTGTTCCAGAAGTATACACATCTATCCCTATGTCAATTGTAGATTTAAAAACTTGTAAAATAAAACTTCAATGAAACATTGCTTTGACATCTCATGTTTATCCTCAAAATACTATATTAAATCTAAATTAGACTAAACTGATTAATTCACTTTGAAGGTTAAGACCCCTCCCCACCAAATGAAATAAATAAATAAGCTGATTTTACAAGCTGAAGGAAACGAGAGCGAGGAGAGCAAGAAAACAAGGTAATCTTGGGAAATAAAACCGTTGTGGGGACATCCCAGATGAATAAGCGGGCCATTATGCTGAAGAATGACAGCCTGGGGCCGTGATTATGCCGCTATTATATCTTAAACAGTGTGGTTTGTCAAAATGCATAAGCCCTTTGCTCACATAAAGAGGGTCTCCCCCTCTGTGTGTATTTTACCAGAGGCTTGATGCCACCGCCACCATGTTCTCAGTGCCCTTGATGGGGCTGCTAACTGCATTTTAAAGTGCCTTATGCCATATTTAAATACAGCTGATTGTAATGCGTTCTAACATTCAACCTTTTGAGTAGATCAAAACACACATGGGAGGGTGGCATGATTCATTATGAAAAAAAATTAACGCCAACATGCAAACAGTAAATTTAACTTGTCAGTTAAAGGTTCGAGCAAGTCAACAGTGTAAATAAATAGCATCTGTATTCTAGTTTCGGGAGCAAAAACAAACTGCCTCCAGGGGTTTGACACAGATTATGTGACAACAAAGTCAAGTTCTCTTTACTAACTCGGCAAGGTAAGAAATCATACTAAACGATTAACAGAAAATGCTTCTAAGACAAGCATTAAATTGCTTGCTTGTAAATGAAGCCTGTCCTATGCCCGCAAATTTAAACGATTAACTTAAATGTCACAGTACCAAAACAAATATTACTACTGCTCTGCAGCATCCCAATTCAGTGGTTTCTAAATTCACCTTAGTGTTTAATCAGGTGTCACCGTCAGACAGTCTTTCACAGACACGCACAAGCACAAAATGTACTTCGAGAATGCCTAGCACAAAAATCACAGTGTACCATTCAATCAGAACTTTTTTCCCCCTCATGCTCTCCTTTTTGGTTTTAGCTGCATGGAGAATGAAAGCTGCCACCATAAGGAACCCCAGCCCATTGAGGAAGTGACAGGCACTGCCAGAATATGATCCTAATCCTGTTCCCAGCATTCTTTTAGCCCGCTGGCACTGCAATTTTGCCACATACTCTCCAAGCTGTCAGCTGAGGTAAATCTCTCTAACAGCACATTGTTCAGATACACATCAAAGAACTCCTGGAAACCAATACGGCTCACTCAGAAATTAGCCGGAAAAACTAAACATGCCAGCTATTATGTTAAACCTAAACTTAAATGAAAGCGTCCTAAAATCTTAAATAAAATATTGGTAACACTTTAGAGTTTAGGTATGTCCAATTCTCACTATTAAAGTCGCTTATGAGCATGCACATTACTAGGATATTGGCTGTTTATTTGTAGGGCCTGCTACTTATAAAACATATTAATGCCTTATTCTCCAGAACCATAATATTCTACATCCCTTAATTCTACCCAACACCTAAACGTAATTATTTAAAAAGTTGCTGCCTTAAATTGAAGTAGCCTACACAACTTGTATGTTTAAGTCATTTCAACCTAAATTACATTTAACTGATTCAAAATTAGTTTAACCTTGTATAACACATATGTTGTCATAACTTATTGATCATCTTTTTTTTACAGCGTTATAACTAATAAGCAGTCATTAGGAGTTTATTGAGGCAAAAGTCGTAGTCGATATAGGAAGGCTAATTAATAGTGAGAACTGTATTCAGTATTTAAATGATAGTGTTAAATAAAGTCGGCACGAAATTGAAGTTGCAATAGTCGCTTCTTCCTTATTATGACGTGTATATGGCCTATATCTGAGTGAAATCACCAACCAGAAAGAGCATGATTTTCTATTGCGGTCATCTGAAGTGACCGGTTGTAGCGCCCTCGCGCCAGTTAACACGTCATCAGAAAAGAGAAGATATATCACAGCAAGGGGGGTGTCATTTTTGTTAAAGTTCACGAGGGCAGTAGTGATGCATGGAGAAATCATCTATAATAAATATTGCAATGGTCCATTAAAAAAAAGGAATTAAATTTTTTTATTTTATGGTTACTTTAAGGGAGAGCGAAAAAGTAGCAACCGAGCTGAGAAAGCGCTGATGACAACAAGACGATGACAACAGGTGTTTGAACTCGCTTGCGAGAGGTCGCCCTCTTTGGTCCCAGCTCCCTTTTCTGATTCAATTCTCCCCTTTTTATCCCTCTGTTATCACAACCCCACTTAATCCTCTTAAGGGCAAAGAAAACCCCTCTTTTCTGGGGAGAGCTCACCCAAGCCAACCGCAGCTCTCCAGAGCCTGTCACCAAAGCGCTGTTTCAGTCACACGTAATTACACATCAATGCCACACTACACATACCTTTCAGACGGGGAGAGTGGCATTGTGGGCATGCGGAGGGAAGCTCAGCGCTCTTTATGCAGGACACAGTCATATGGATTAAGTCTCCACCGGACACTTGAGAGTTAGGCGAGACACTTCGCTACTGTGCGAGACTTAAGGGAAGCAGACAATCCCCGGCAAAAAAGTATTGAAACGGCCGTTGCCTGCGAGGATTTATTTTCTTAATGGTAGATTAAGCGGGAAGATGTATGGTGTGGTAATTCACGCTAAGCATCATGGGATGGTTCGTGGACGCTGCTTCAGCAGAATGTTGAGCTGTTATTATCTGAATGCTGCGTCGCATCAGTAATGACGGATCCACCCTGAGATGGACAGTGGACTGGACCAAAAAAACCTACGCTTTTGGTTACACTTTATTTTAACGTGTTCCTGTTACAGTGTAAACAACATGTACTACTGAGTAATAGTAATTAAGTAGGCTAGGGTTTGGTTTAGGGTTAGTTGCATGTAATTATGCCGTGTCACAAGGACACATTGAAATAAATGAAAATAAAGTGTTACCAAGATTTTTAATGTTTTCGAAAGAAGCCTCTAGGGGTTCATTTATTTGATTAAAAACGTTCTATTAAAATATATTTTTAATTTATTCATGTAATGGAAAATTTTCAGCACATTATGAGTAGGCGCTCAAGTCTTACTATAATCGTTTAAATATTTTTTGTGGAAACCATGATATATATATATATATATATATATATATATATAGATATATATATATATTTACAGGATCATTTGATGAATGGAAAGTGAACAGAAATGAACAGCATTTATTTGAAATCTTTTGTAACACTATAAATCATAATTGTCACTTTTGATCAGTTGAATTCATCCTTGCTCAAATGCATTCATTTCTTACTCTTTTTTTTTTACAACATAATTTGAACAGTGTACCATGGTTTAAAAAAATAAGCAACCACTTTCAAAATTGGTAATAATAAAAACTAAGCTTTGCAGCACAGGAATAAATTACATTTTAAAATCTAAAATAGAACAGTTATTTGAAATTTATTATTTTATTTTTTTACCACAATATTACTGTATATATACCAATATTGATCTGATAAAACCATAATGCAAACTAATGTCTGCTGCATTTTGTAATTAATAGACACTTATTTCACTGGATCTTGTCTTAAAGGAAATATAGTTTCAACACTGATTTAAAAAAAATGTTTTGGTGGTACATTTTAAAAGTCTCACTATGAAATCAGACTAGTTCAAAGGATTACATTTTAAAATATTAAATATTTGTTAGTATAATTAAGTCTCAAAAATATGTGGCTTTGACATCTGGTCCTTATGAAAATTCCCTGAGGCCAGTCCACCCTTGATCCACAGTCTGAAGAGTGAGTGCTGAGGCCGAGGCCCATGCTGGCCTCTTAAGATATGCGACTCACACCACAGATATCCGAGCAGTAACGCCTTAGGCCAGAGCTTCACAACACCTACAATCAGATACCTTATCACTGAAGCGCCTACGGTCAGCCGTTACATTTATGTGAATACGGTGTTTACAGCTTGTGGACATTAGGACAAACATGGAGTACAGAGATCTACCGATATCCATGACATCTTACATAAGGTGTGAGGAGGACTGGGGCCAGTTTACATGTAAACAATTGAGCTCAGAAATGTATAGGTTAATCTTAAAAAAATATAAACATAATGTCCGTGAGGTTTACCCTTCAAACCGTATTCCCTTTTTTAGCCCTTAATCCTGTAATTGTGGACAAATGTGGGCACAAAGGACTCAGGGGTGTGATCCTTTTTATTTATTATAAATGTTATATCACTGTCTTCGATAAAGTTTTGTCTATCCATTTATGGTGTTTTTTTTATTTTGGGGTATTTTTGAATTGATTTACTTCAAAAAGTACCATATTTTCTATGTAAATTATGTGTATTATTTTTTTACATTTTTTTTAACAACATTAAAATATCATTCCAATAAGTTATTAGAGCTAAAACCTAAAGATGAAGAGACTTTGCTGTCACCTGGTGTCTTATTTTGGCTTATTTTAGAATGCTCTAAATGACAGTTTTTCCTATTCATTTCTATGGGTGCTCATTTTTGATCCAAATACAAGATTATGGATTTTTTTTCACCCACTTAACATTGTAAAATTGAGTCAAAAAAAAATTGTGTATGCTCAGGAAAAGTAGCCAAGTCTTGTACCGCTCAGATCAAGGGAAGTATTTTTTAAAAATAAATCAAAACTATTTTGCCCACATTTGTCCAGAATACGGTTTTAGGGTTAAGGTGACAGAGGTTAAGTTATAGGATGAATTTACTGATCCAGAGAGACCGCATATCATTTTAAAGGGTTAGTTCACTGTGTCATTATTTGCTTTCTTCTTGTTTGTGACCAAGTCCAAAAACAACACTGAATCCCATTGACTTTCATTGTCCAAAATATATTCTGTGTTCCACCTAAGAAAGAAGGTTACACTGGAGGGTGAGTAAATGATGACAGAATTATCATTTTTGGTGAACATTTTTGGTTCTGCTTAACTGTTTTGTATCAGTGATTAATCAGTGCACTAATCTCACATACAAATGATGAAGTCAAAAGGATAAGCAAGAAGCTTCTGAAGGGGCCCTGCGGGTTTTGAAGCAAACTTCACAAAAGTTTTGCCAAGAAGCTGTGTGATTGAATCATAAGTTGTTTTTTTCCCCCACAAAACACTCGTGTTTGCCTTTTCCATGGGAAGCCGTTATGATTTCCACCCACCTAAGGACATCTGAGATTCCGTCATTATAAGGCCTCGGCGTCCGGACGATATTCCCGACATGTTTCTGTCATTACAAAGATCTACACCCGATTTACATCATTGGCAAGGTGCTCGCCAAACGATCAGATGCCAGCATCCTCAGCAGTGTCAAAGTCAATAATGAATAAAACGTATAGATGAAAAGAACTCGTCCCTAATGGTCCCTCTGTCTCCTGAGTGTTAAAAAATGTAAATTTATGTAAAAGCCCATAGGAAACACATATTTACAATACGTTTAGGTAATCACAAGATGCAGGCATGGAGAAATATCCCGGCCGAGAGAAGCAGTCAATGCAAAAATAGTTTTTATGTGTCATTAATTCTCTTTGCATTCCCAAATAACCCTATATTACCGCGGTAATACAGTAATCACTCACAATCGCACAGAAAATTATCTGCACTCATCTGTGGAATAAAAGGCGAAGGGGAAAACGAGGGGAAAGCATCCCATTTTAGTATCCTCTTGCGTCCTTAATGTTCAACGAGAAGCCGGCGAGTAAACGACTGCTCGGCCAATCTCGACTCTGGCACCGATGGAACAGTTTCCGAGCAGCTTAATGATAGCGGGGAGTCGATGGCTCTCGTCAGCCCCTCTTCCTAAAATGCGCACACCTTTTCATGCTACATTGCCCAGAATAGACGCAAGGTTCATGGACAACTGGGGGAAAATTGAACCTTTTCTACGCTACCAGAAAACAAAACACTCCTCTGATGCCAAATCTAAACGACACACACACACTCGGGAGAGCTGACATTAGGTGTAGAAGTGCTGCAGACACATCAGCCCATGCAGCATTCATAAGAGTCCCGTCCTTGCCCACAGACATTCTTTATCCCTCAAATCAATGTTACAAACACTAGTACTGAACACTCAATCAAAATACCCATTGTTGTCTGTATATAATACACATGTAAATTGTTTGTGACGAGTCCTGATATGGGAAACTGTTTTAAAGAAAATTAAGGTCACACTTTAGATTAGGGTCTAATTCTAACTATTAACTACGACTTTTGCATCCAACTCCTAATTACTGCTTATTAATAGTAAGGTAGTTGTTAAATTTAGGTATTGGATAGGATTAAGGGAAGTCATGCAGAAAAAGGCATTAAGATGTGCTTTATAATTAACAGCCAATAGTAATATGCATACTAATAAGCAATTAGTTCATGGAGGGAATTGGACCCCAAAACTCAGGTATAGGCCTCATATTAATTGAGATGCTACTTAAAAATTTAAAGTATTCAGAAATTATGTAAAACCTGAAAGCAATTGTGACTAGATATATCATCTTAATTATCCCCGAAAATAAAAAAATTAAAAAAGTTTAGCTAAGACTTGATACATGTGAACTACTTATCCGTATAACAGACCTGTGAACATTTCATTATCTTTAAACTCCTCTGAATTACTTGCTGGAAAGTAAAGAAATATGGGGGGACGGGGCAATGGAATATATACATGTATATATATACAAACACACACACACAGTTGTTTTAGGGATTTTCTCTGAACCCTTATAGGCAAATGAAGTACTTCATTAACATAAATAAATACATTTAAGATAACTGTAAAATGAAGACCAGCATGTTTTGGCAATCTGCATGACAGAAAGACACAGTACTGTTTCTTCTTTGAATCATGCAGACAAGCATATTGTCAGTTCAGTTTTATAACGGTTCGTCGACGCCCCCTACTGGCCAAACTTGGGAACACGTGAATTACAAATGAACAGGATTCTCAGTTTTCAAAACCATTTCTCTATTCTTAATTTCAATTATTTGTTTTTAGTTGATTTGTCATCATTGCAGGAACAATAGGTTCTCCTTTTTCCCTGTTGTACTCAGAGGATACATTTTCAATTTTACTCTGCATAGATACTGCACTGCTATTTATTTGTAAACCTTCATCTGTTTGACAGATTTAAACCTTCCCAAGTGAAAATGGAAACACAAAACTATTATTATATCATATTTAACTTTAAAGAACGATAAAATGATAAATTACATGATTCTCACTATTATCTTTACAACAGTAACATATTACCAGGTGGAGTTACATTAAAGCCTTCTTTAATAATTATAATTTTTTTAAGTTATATTCAGAGAAAGTTCCATGTCTGGTGACTAGGGTGCCCTATTGCAGCAATAGTGGTGTGACACTGTCATTTGCATTAATATCTGAATGTCCGGCTAGTTTATTCGTTGTAATTTACACATATAAATAGGTCCAAAGTTGGCACACAGGTGTGGCAAAACCAGCTCCCCAACACTTAAGTGAGGCGCAAAGTGGAAAGTGTCAGAAAAACGTTGAGCGAACCATCTGAGGTCCTGAACCTGTACTGTGATTCCCAGCTCCTCCTCAGCGAGACTTATGGCCTGTTGCACCACACACTCATTCTGCAGCTGGGACAGGGAACATGTAGAGTACACTATGTGTCCACCTCGGCGAGCGGCCTGGATCCCAGCTCTGGACGGGGAAAGAAATATCCAATTAATAGTCTTTATGCAACATCCAAATATATTAGCCAAAAAAAAAGTGTATGTATGTATGTATATATATATATATATATATATATATATATATATATATGAAGAGTTCAGATGCAAAAGCCTCTAAATGCCATTTGAAATTTTCTTGTTTAATGATGATTTTTTATCAAACTTGTATATTTAAGTTCAGTAATTTCACTTAAATAACAATTAATAGGTAATTATCATTGCCATTTAAGTGAAATCACTGAACTTAAATATACAAGCTTGATAAAAATTATCATTCTAGAAGAAAATTTCAAATGGCACTTAGAGGCTTTTGCATCTGAACTCTTCATATATATATATACATATATTAGTCAAAAGTTTGGAAACATTACTATTTTTAATGTTTTGAATGAAGTTTATTATACTCATCAAGCCTGCTGCATTTATTTGATCAACATACAGAAAAAAATCATATTGTGAAATATGACAAATTAAAATAATATAATTTTATTTTATATAATTTATTCCTGTGACGGTAAAGCTACATTTTCAGCATCATTACTCCAGTCTTTAGTGTCACATAATCCTTTAAAATCATTCTAATATGCCAATCTAAATCTTTACTTCACTTTTTATCAAGTTGATGTGTCCTTTCCTTGCTGAATTAAAGCATACATTTCTTTCACAAAAGAAAGAAAAAAAAATTACAGACCACAATTTTAAACAGTAGTGTATATTGTTAAAAAATATATCAATTTCTATCCTATTGTTTGCACATTTAGAAAAATTACTTACACAAGAAGCCGTGTTTGCAAGAGTGGAAGTTTCTGTCTCTCTTTGGTCCTGGACCTCTTAAATAAATTGTTCTCCTCCACCATTGCAGAGTGTCTGTCTGTGGTGCAGGGAACATCTACAAGCACCTGTGAGAGGATGGAAGATGAAAAGAAGATACAATGAAGGCACAATGCCCATATATGCCTGGAACACTGTTTGTACTGTTGCCATATTCTTGGCAGAGATGCATACTTTAAGCAGAACAACACAGGTATAGGAAGCAGATGTTAGATATTTCGATATGTCATGCATACATATGTTGTAGTTTAAGTACAACGGTGTTCTAAAAGCTTGGGATCGGCAAGGATTTGTTTACAAAATAAGTCTACACTCACCAAGACTGCATTTATTTGATAAAAAATACAGTAAAAACATAATATTGTGAAATATTTTTACAATTTAAAATAACTGTTTTCTATTGTAAGATGTAATTTATTCCTGTGATTATTCCATTACTCCAGTCTTCAGTGTCACATGATCCTTCAGAAATCAAGAAACATTGCTGTCCAAGAAACATTTCTGATTATTATCACCAATGTTGAAAACAGTTGTGCTACTTAATATTTTTGTGAAAACCGGAATACTGAGAATTATTTTTAAGGATTATTTGACGAATAGAAGTTCATAACTTCCCCAGTATACTAACTCTGTCAAAGCGGTTCTCCTCTGTCAGGCCTAACTGCCAACCATCAGTGGATGTGATGTGGATTTTGTCTTCATCCAAAAACTCTTTAGGCACGTAGCTCTGAAGAGTCTTGCGTAATCGTGTTGTGCGGGAAACTGATAAGTCATTCGCCCATAGATAATCTGAAATGGGGGGGGGGGGGGTATAGTATTATATCACATATTAAGACCTACATTCTCTTTCATTAGAAAGCTTTGGCAAAATTCATTAACATACCGACTGAATGTGCCTGTAGGAGAGCAAGGGTCTTCCCTCCAGGAGCTGCACACAGATCCAGCACTGTGTGTCCAGGCTGGACGTCCAGCGCTAGTACAGGCAGCACCGAAGCAGCATCCAGAAGGTAATATCCCAATATACCACTGCTGTCAGGTCTAAGTTAAAAAGACAGATATATTAATAACTTTGGACAAGATGGAGTAGCTGATTTTTTGTTGTAATTCTTACCTTGCGGGCTTAAATCTAGATATGTCTCCTTGTGGAAAAACAAGACATTTGATATCAGGACTTATATTGTGTTGAAGAGCATCAGGTTCTAGCTCTGTTGAATCTATGTGTGAGGTTGTGGAGTCCTCCTGTGAATGTTGATGTACCTCATCATTACTCGAACAGCCAATACTGACGAAATCTTTACAACCTTGAGCTTCTAAATCTGTGATTATGTGAGGTTCTGAAGAAAAACTGTTCATCAGTGCCCCATACTTTTGTTCACACAGCATGGCGACTCGAATAGAGGGCCACAGGTCCTTAAACTGTAAACTGTACGTTGCGTCAAAGTTTTGCAGAGCAAGTTCAGTAGATGGAAACTTGGGCCTTGTCGCTGCCTAATGGAATATAGAAGACGACGGGAACATCTTAAGATATCCATTTGCCACATTGTTCTTTTATTTTAAAACCACAGCAAACTCATTACTCACCCATTTTGTTTTAACTCGATACCGTCGCGGAATAAACGTAATCGAGACTTTGAATTTATTTATACAAAATCTCGTGCATACGTACGCTGCCATGTTTGTGTATCATCAAAAGCGTCCGTCGCTTTTGTCCTCATTGGTTCCTAGCTTGGTTTTGTGATTTTCGCGCATAAAAGTAATTACTTGCGAATATATAAAGTAAAAACATTTTGTTTTTATTTGTATTAATTTATTCAGAAATATATTACAAAATATAATGGATAAACTGCTTATAACATTTGAACGTTCCAGAAATTTCTTTCATGAGCCCCTACTATTGCGAAGGATGAAGCCAAGCCTTTACCATAGGATTCGTAAACTCGCATCCCTATGAAATTTTACACACAGCTCATACTTTACGTTAACCAGTTGAGTTGACCGTTGCTACTTCATTGTGTTTAAGTGTGTATTCAAAACACACACGTAGGCTATGGTTTTTGAAAGGGAATCGATCAAAGATGGACAGCCTGACGAGCCAGAGGAGGTACGGCCACTACTTTTATAGTATTACTGTAGTTTGAAGAAAGTTCATTTGTGAAATTATGCAACTTTCACGTCATTGTAGGCAAGTCGATTCTCACATATCAGCAGTCCTGACATAAATATAAGAAAGCAGTTCTGATATTTCAACCCAGGCCTATAAAAACACGTTTAATATAGTATTAGAATGTGTTTCATTTATGACGCTTACATTGCAAATATATACATAACGTTACATATACATACATACACGTGTATATATAATTATTGTTATTTTAAGTACCACAGTATTTTTGTGGCTCTTGTCCCTCATTAATATGTAAAGGAAGAAAAACATACAGAGGAGGAAGATGCGGAAGATGATGGTGCTGATGAGGAGGAAGATGAGGAGGAAGAAGAGATGGTGGTATGTACTACAGGATTACATAAATTGGATTCATATTAAATTAATTCCTCTTCATCTTAAAAAGTATATATATATATATATATATATATATATATAAATAAACACACAGTTAACCTGAATAATTAATCTGAGGTAATAAGCAACATCCAAATTAAGCCAAAATTAACCAAATTAAGTAAAGAAATTAAGTTTAAGTAAGCAGAACTGGTGGCAAATTTCAATTTTGTACTTAGTTTTTAATTGCACCTACCTTGGAAATTGAGTAAATTAATTCATACATTTAACTTAAAAAGATAAGGTTATCTCAATTCAAATATTAGTAGTGAAAATTTTACTTCTAGATATAAATTCAGCAAATGCTAACTTGTGATGCTTTAATAACATAAGCATAGCAATTTTAAGAGTACAACAACACAGAACATTTAACATACAGTTGTGTTCAAACCAAGTTTGACTTGTGATGATGTTATGTTAATGATGGTGGTTAACCATAAAATTTTTTTCAGAAACTTCTAAGTTAGTATAGCAACGCATTAAACCCTACTAAATCCCCTGCAGGACCCCCTAGAAACAATAAGACAAAAATGTGAGAAGACGGCACATTGCATACATGCACAAGAAAGACTAGAAGCTTGTCAAACTCGAGTTAGCTCACGGTCACACACTGAAGAGGACTGCACAGAGGAGCTGTTTGACTTTCTACATGCACGGGACCACTGCGTAAGTCACTCTCAGCCCTTACTAGGGGCTCAAACAGTGTTCTTAAAAACATTGCTGTAATATTTTAATATTATCTTTGCCTTCCAGGTTGCACAAAAGCTCTTCAGTTCGGTTAAATGAAGCTCCACTGAGACACTCATTTCGTTCCAGTCGAGTATCTGAGCTGTAGATGTGTGTAAAAGTACTGAACAAGCATAAACAAATATAAACAAATCTCAAAACTTGTAATTGTATGTGAATAAATGTGTGTAGACTTCATGTACACGTGTTTTCAGTTCTGTATGTACACGGGTTCTTTGGTTTACACCGGACCAGAAAAACAAAAAAGTAACGTGTATATTCTGCTTTCCACGTGTCGCGTCAAAACTAGCCTATAGGTACCATTTCTGTATATCGTATTGTAATTACACATAGTCCCACAAGGTGGCAGTAGACATTGCATTGTTGGCTAGTTTCCTCTCTCTCTGCCAGTTAAAATCAGACTTAAAAAAAATAAATAAAAAAAAATCGAATGAACTTGTATTAAATTTAATAAACATCGTGTAAGCAAGTACAGCCCATGAAAGTAGGTTTTTCATTTTATCTAGCAACTGGATTATTTATTGCACATTTTTCCATAGTTTATCAAGTAAGTTTCTACAAAAGCCTCAGGATTTCCACAGGAGAAACACGACCAAGCATCAAACTGAAACTCATTTTCACCTGCTTTTAAACAGATTTAATGAGATTAAAAGTATGAGGGGGAAATATCGGTGCTCTTAAATTAGCTCTCAGTTCTAGGATAGAAAATGACTGGCGTTTACTTACCACATTAAGAAATAAGCCTGTAAATGAGCTTAGAAAGGTGAAAGCTAATTTTTTGAAGCTAGGGGAAACAAGAAATATGGCTGAATTTAAAGTAATTAACTGTAATGTAATACAACAAAATACATATAAATATAGAGGGGAAATATGACTAATGATTCATGTAGGGTGGCAGAAGCATTTAATAATTTTAGATTCTACAAAATCTTGGATTCAGCATGTTCCTGGTTTAAATGATTTAGTTGGTATTTGTATTTATGTTAATATGCTCTGGTTATGGCCATGTTTGCTGGAATGGGTTTTCAATGAATCTTTGTTTTATGTACTTATGTACCATCAACCTGCCAGGAACTACAAATGAAAATGAGACTTGTGTAAATGTGCTGCTTTTAGACATACAGTGCAGGTGCTCATGTTAATTAATGTGCATTGTCCCTTTTAAAATAAAATTCGTACTCTTTCCCCTGTAATGTAAACCGTTACATAGCACTAGAGAAAGAATATTCAATTAAAATTACCAAATCAAATCATACATATAAAAACTAGGGGTGTAACAATATATCGTGCCACAATATATCGCAATACAAAAATGCAACAATACATACCGTGGATAGTGACAATATGTATCCCCCCAAAATAAAAATGACTGTGTGAGAAAAAAAAAAAAAAAAATCAAGTTTTCAGAGTTTTAGTTTAAGTACTACCTTAATATAATTTTGATTATAATATATAATAATGCAATGTGGGAATATTTGTGGGTCCCGATAATGCCAAATGTCTGATATATCTAGCCAGTGAAAGAATGCAAGCATATTCATCTAAAATAATGCTGAATTTTCAGCTTCAGAATCATGAATATTTTTTTTCTGGTGTCACCATTGTCCTTGACATATAAGCACCAAGTCACTATTATTGCGATACTCCAAGACATCATATGTCTTGGAGTATCGCAATAATATTGTATTGTGAGTTCAGTATTGTGATGCGTATCGAATCGTGACATGATGGTATCGTTACACCCCTAATAAAAACAAATAATTTTTTTTACAACCATTGCCACAAGCAAAACCCTGCTTAGGCACTGATGACAATTTGCTCTGATGAAAAGCATGTAAACATGAGACTTTCATAACCCAATTCATATATTAAAAAAACAATTTTATTAAAAGAAAAACATGATCAAAATAAAACAGGGTTTAGACAGTAATTATAAAAATAAATATTCAGCTGAAAGCAGCATAATTTATCAAACAAGAAAAACACTAACTCAATGTTCCTGATGAATCCATGCACACAGTGCATATAAAAACTACAGCTTCCGGTCACTTCCTCACCAAGGGTAATTCTCCTTATCGCTCTGTCCAACAAAATCATTCATCGAGGACTGGAGGAAGAAAAAAAAAAAAAGTTGAATCAGAGACCTAACAATAAACTTGTTGAAAACTAAAATTGGGCAATTTGAGTTCTGAAATGATCATCCAGTAAATTTGAGCTTCCTGCTGCCTTTTATAAGACAATCTAAGATAATTTAGATTCAATCTTTTAAAATCACTCAGGTCTAGAAAGAACACAGAAAAGGGCAATTGTCTGAGGAACAGAGTGATTGTCCAAAGTGGACTAACCTGCATGAGGAGTCTCTCTTTCCTCAGTCTCTTGTAGAAGAGCAGCACGTCCTGGTTGGCCTGCACCACTCGAGGATCAAAGTCCATCACACGCAGGCCTTCCAGACTCCGAGCCCGTGACAGAGCAACATAAGCCTGCCCGCTCTCAAACACACGCGCCAAAGAGATCTCCACGCAATCCAAAGTCATACCCTAAACACACCATACAAAGAGACACCAGCAATTTACTTTAACAATCTAGGCATAATTTACTAATAGCAGAACATAGTTAACTTATAAAATACACACAACAGCCTACAGATAGTTCCCATCCTTGATTCTGATTGGTTGAGCCACGTTAAAGCCATCTAAACAGTTGCGATACACAATGTGAAGTCAATAATTCTAGATCAGAATTTAATCAGATACACAAATTACCGAATTTGAACGTAGCCCGAGTCTGTGTGTTGCAACTTGCTTTGCAATTGGACTGTTTTAAAAATTAAAAAGCCAGAAGTGTCTGAAATGTATTGTAGAGTCTTCCAGTTCTGTAAACTCTTTTTGAACTAATTACACCGATAAGACTGGCCCACGTGTTTATAGTGAGGAATTGATTTAATATGCCATTTTCCCCAGTTCCCCCACCGAGCATTGGGACGTGCCACATGCTACGTTTCTGAAACATTTGCCAGACACCCAATGAGCTTAATTACTCTCTGACAATGTTTGCAACAACTTTGACAGTTCATCAGTGCAGAAGGCACAGAAAAGGTCAGAAATGATGGGTAAACATGGTGACTAGTTAATGAGTCAATACAGAAGCCAGATCCATAGTCCTGAGCATCTGTTCACAGATGCACAGAAACACAGTTCCAAAGCCAAGTCATTTTATTTTAATGGGACTTTCAATGAACATCGCATGATCATTTCCTCTAGGGCCCAGAACAGAAGGAGATCAACGGCACAATCTTGTAATATTAGATTTCATTCTATGCATTCAGCTGATGCTGGTTTGACTCACTATGCATAATGAGTCTTGATGGGGCTTCATAGTAGAGCTCACCTGACTCTTGTGGATTGAAATGGCCCAGGCCAGTTTGAGTGGCAGCTGCTGTCGGCTCAGGTACAGCCCCCCGGACGCTTTAAACATCCAACGCTCTCTCTTCATTACCTCGACAGCCCCGCAGAGGAATCGCACCCGAGGGAGACCTGTGGGAGAGCGATGTCACAACATCTCACTGCATGCGTTCAAATCCTCTAAAATATGTTTGTGTTCTAGAACCAGCCACGTACAACAATTAATGAATGATATTTGGGTAAATCTCAAAGCCAGTAAAGAACATGTTGGAATTAAAATATGAACAGTTTTAAAAGGGTGGTTTACTGCTTTTTTTCTTTGCATGATTGTGTTTATGGGGTGCAATATAACATGTATTTGTGTTTTTTCTTATTAAAATCTTATTTTTCATTAATTTCACCTTTATTGTAAGCCGCTTTCTCCTCTGTCATTTGAATGACCGGTTTACATCCTGATTCTATGAAACCACTCCCCCAGAAACAGACAATGGGTTCAGATTGGTTAGTTTGGGCCAGTGTGTTGTAATTGGCAGAAATATGGCCATGCCCTTTTTTCCATATTCAAGAGGGAGGGTTGATGTATGGGTTAGTTACGTATAAAACCCGTTGTAATCCCATTCGAGTCGTTTTTGTACCCATTAAACTTCCTGATTTTTAAAAGACGATATCTCTGCTTACATTGAAAAAAAAAAAAAAAGAAGTAAAATCGTAATCAACCACCCCTTTAAAATTACATCCCTAATTTTATTACAGCAATGAGGAATTAAAATGTACTCAATGAAACTGGAGAATAATGAATTAAATCACATCTAACAGGTAATTATGTCCCAACAGCATGATGTCACAAATCAAATCTTAAAATGGTCCTTTCAATTCCTTTTTACAAAACATAACTGCTAATTTATCCTTCTCATAGGGTTGAAATACAATAGATATTATTTATTTGCTGTTAGCAGTATTGTTTTTTTATGATGCCATTTTCATAAAAACAACACTTGTGACAGAGAAAGTAAAATACAATGCGTTTGGAAGTGTGGGCCACTGTTTCGCAGTCAGCCATACCTTGATTCCCCGGCTGAAAGTCAACCACTACTCCTCTGGCTCCATTCACTAGACCCCTCTGGACATCCAGGTTTTTAGTAAGCATGACCTGATCAAATAAAAAGGTTCTTGCAAATATTTGACATTTAAAAATCAAGAGCACATGTTAGCCAGAAGGACATAACACCAACCTGAGCGCCTACTTTGAGCTGTAACAGCCGGCTCACTGGACTCTGGGCGTCAATTGTCTGAACCAGCATAGGGTCACTATCCACAGCTTCGAATACTCTCATTGCCCCTGCAAGTAAACACTTAAGAGACTTAGAAATGTGTAAGACCGTATCTCACTCAACTGACAGTTTGTGTAGATTAGAAACAAAAAAACAAAAACAACTACATGGTTTCTAGTGCCTTATGTCACTCATGAATCAGATGGTGGATTTCTAGAAACTATTTCAGTGATCTCATTCCCACCTATCCATGTCACAATTAACAGCGATACCAGAACAGCCAGCCACCACTTGATGCGACCAGCAAACCACGTCACATTTCACACATCTCCTGTTTAAAATTAGGTTTCAGTGTGACCAACCTGGTAACTGTTTGAGTTTATTCTCATTGGTGAGCTCCACATCATCCTTGTGTGTGCACAGCCTGGTTGCCAGGATACCATCCCTCTCGATGCAATGATTGGCACTTCTCAGCAGCTGTGTGGTAACTTCCTCTGTGACTCTA